TCGGTTGAGCATCTGCCTCCAGCTCAGATCATGATCCCAGGGTCATGGGATCGAGCCCCACATTATCGGGCTCCCGTCTCCCTCTGCCCCTCCACCTGCTCGTGCATGCAAGTGCTTGCTCTCTGTCAAATAAATAAAAATCTTTAAAAAAAAAACAATTAGAATACTAATTGTAAGGTCTGTGACACATTATAGCTGGACCATTAAGTGTGACATTAGTGTCAAGGAAACTCAAGATAGTATAAGATTTGGAATCTTTACAAAGCATGTTGTGTCTTTTACATCAATTAAATATATTTACTCTGTAAGGCACCTCAGTGTTGGATGAGATCTAAAGGAATCTAGAACAAAACTCTCACTGTCAGGAAGCTCAAAGCCCAGGGTCAAGGGGAAGAGATAGGTGACCACTAAGACCTTCCACACAGCAAAATAATGATACCAGATAACCATCATAGAATGGAAAATAGAAGGCCAAGGAAAGCACCAGGAGGGTTCAGAAAACGAAGAAATCCATTCTGTTGAAAGGATCAAGAAAAACTTAAGATGAGGCAAGTGAAATAGACCACACTGGGTGGTTAGGGTATCAAAACATACAGATGGGGTAAGGATGGTAAGGAAAGAAATATGAGCAGGTGAGCCCTACAGGCTCACAGCTGGAACTGAAATGGGAAAGTACTGGTATGATCTGAAGGCAGTAAATAATTCAGCTTAGCTAGAATAGTTAATAGTTCAAAAGTGACCAGAGGCACTCTGGGGAGGACCTTGAAGGCCAAGTTGGATTTGGAATTAGGAAATAGGCAGCCATGTTAGTACTTGAGCAAATGGATGGCTCTTTCATCAAGTGGGTGTTAGATATGTGGCAATTTCTGGAAACTTTCTGAAATTGTCCTTTGTTATGTGCACAGAACCACATGGGATGCTCACCCTATCACCCAGGAATGAATAACTACTGCCCAAGCTGCCTAGTTATGAGAAGATTGTTTACTTGTTTATTAAAATCCTAGTTATGAGGGGCGCCTGGGTGGCTCAGTTGTTAAATGTCTGCCTTCGGCTCAGGTCATGATCCCGGGTCCTGGGATCCAACCCTGCATCAGATTCCCTGCTCAGTGGGAAGCCTGGTTCTCCCTCTCCCACTCTCCCTGCTTATGTTCCCTCTCTCGCTGTCTCTCTCTCACTCTCTGTCAAATAAATAAAGACTGTAAAAAGTAAAAAAAATAAAAATAATAAAAAAAATAAAATCCTAGTTATGAGATTTTGTTTGTAATTCAGAGACCACCAAGGCTCCATAAAACACAGCATTTGCCTATAATACTAGTTCTATAAAGAGGAGCTCAGTGCTATGGTATTCTGGATAAATCAGAGATTCAGACAGGGGTTGACAGATGGGGCACATTAAACAAGGTGGTATTGCTGGTGAAGTTATTATATCCTAAAGACTTGACCTGAAACAGCTTTGGCACCACTAAAGTTGCGAAAGAGAGGGTAAGGAACTCCTAAAGTATTAGCCTGATCCACTGCACTTAGAGGAAAGGCATCGCTCCAAGTCTGTATTCTGGGCAATTTCACTCACTACACGTGGGGACATCAGGAAGCCTCAGCTTGAGAAGCAGAATGAATGGAGAGGTCATTACCAAGTTGGCTCAAAATAAGGCCTGTTTGCTTGTTTGGGGCACTGACCTGACTTGCATAAAAATAACAAAAGCAAGGTCTCTGAAAATCAAGAAGGGAGTCTCCAGCCCTGTTTGATGTCTGCAGGTGTCCCTCATCCCATATCGTCCCACAAGTCACAGCGGGCCTGCCTCCTTGGACTTCATGCCCTTCTCAATAAGGTTCCACAAGAGAAGGAAGTCCTGACACTTCCAGTACATGCGACGATGTACAGTTCGCCCTCACATCTAGAGTGTTCTGTCCTTGGGAGCATTGAGAAAAGAATCCCCAGAAACTTTCCCTAAGGTCCTAATTCTCTCGTAGCACCTGACCTGAGATGTGTGCCTTTTATTAGTCAGCTACCTTCCTCCTCAGCGCCTCTCCCCGCACCTTCTTCCTCATCCCTCACCCACGGGGAAGAAGCAGACAATGCCATGAGCCATCTGAAGTTGATAAGCCCTCTCATTCAGTAACCAGATAAAGGTTAGTGGCTTTCACCAGGAGGGATAAAAAAAAAGTTTGGTGGAACACACCTTGCTTAGGATATTCACTTATGCTTCTTTGTGTGTTTAAAAATCAGTCAGTACTTTTTGGCCAGAGACTCAACCAATGCACAGAGAAACAGCAGTTTCATTTACAGACTTGGGAAATTTATTGCCTGAAAAGTGAAGTCTGAATGAGCAACCCCAGGCAGCCCGGGAACAGCTCATCTATCTCAATGTCCATAACTTCTGTCAAGAGGGCAGAGACACACGGTCCAGGATGCACCGTGATTCAATCAGTGTCTTAGGGTGAGAAAAGGCAACTAGACTAATAAAATAGAGAGAGTGACACTTCAATCGCCTGGTCCTCCTTTTCCTGAAACACCATTATTTAGAAGAAGGTCATGGCTTCCAACATGCTTCATTAACATTCAAAATGCCTCTGCTTATCTGAATAAGTTCCAGGTGCCTTATTGCAATCAGACAATCGACATTTCACTGTAATCAATATCAGACTTCAAAGAGGTCAAGGCCTATAAGTGAAGATGAGAGTCAGAAGTCAGTGGGCTCAGTCTCCGTGAAGGAGAGAGATCAGAGGAGGAAAGACAGAGCCCTTCAAAGTCGATGGGGTCAGAATGCTGACCTTCCCACATTCTGTGAGGGGCTGGGTTTGGAACGATAACTTCTTTATATGAGCAACCTTATCTTGGTAACCAAACATTCTAGGAAGAGTTAGTCTTAAGCCATTGAGGTAGATTAGATTAGTGGGGGGAAAGTCAGTTGAAGCTGCTCATTTTACTACTTCCCAATGGCTCCTGGTTGGCTGTGGGCTTCCTTAAGGCTGCATATCAACATATAAGCACACTGGAGAGTTCCCCAGCTGCCTGCGGCCTGGGGGGCGGCCATGCAATCTCTCCGCATCTCCGACATGTCATTATCCCAGGGCCATTATCTCCGAGAGGCCTGAGAAAGTCATTTTCACACGCTGCAGATGGCTTCGGGCAGCCTGTGGGGTGGCGGTGATGACCTGCAGGGGCTTCTCGGAAGGCCTGCCGCAGTGATGGGGTGAAAACTTGGGGAAGACTCTGGGGACAGGGTGGGCAGGAGAGGGATGGGGCCTGTCTCCTCCAGGCCATCCATCTTCCCTCCCCGCGAAGGCTCTTGAGACATTTCGAAAACTGCTACACCTTCAGGAAGGGCAAGATGAATGTGATCTTCCAGACAGAGGTTTGAAAGTCAATTTTTCTCTACTCTATTTGAAAATGACGAGTGGCTGACCGAACAACCACACCCTGGCAGAGCATAAGCTGTGAGGGGCCCAAAGAGAGAGCGGTATTTTGTTCAATCAGCTGATCTAGGCTCAGAACCAAAGCTTTGGAAACATTAAGTGATCCATAATGAACACATCTCTCTGAAATTCTGGAGGCAGTGGAGCCTTTTCTAGAGAAGACCCAATCGGGCAATTCATCCTTCCGTTCCAGGTGGTGGATTCGGCTCCGGCAGCCCCGAATCACCTAAACACTCAGAAGTCCAGGCGGCATCCCAGGCCGCGGAAGTCAGCAGCCCCCCAGCGGGAAGGCAGGCAGCCACAAGTCACTCAGAAGCCCCCTAGAGGCTTGCACAGTGCAGCCAGGGGAAACCTCTGGCGGCTGGAAAAGATCACTTCAGCAGCTCCGGCAGGGCACCGCATCCTGGCAAGGGGCTGCTCAAATGCTCAGCTTGCTCCAGACCGGTGTTCTCAGCAGCAAAGCCAGCCCTCAACCCCCAGCCTCAGAACTTGCTGGAATCCTTGAGAGAAACACAGACTTCTGGGGCACCTGGGTGGCTCACTGGCTTAAAGCCTCTGTGTTCAGCTCAGGTCATGATCCCAGAGTCCTGGGATCAAGCCCAGCATCAGGCTCTCTGCTCAGTGGGGAGCCTGCTTCGTCCTCTCTCTGCCTGCCTCTCTGCCTACCTGTGATCTCTGTGTGTCAAATAAATAAATAAAATCTTAAAAAAAAAGAAAGAAAGAAAGAAAGAAACAGACTTCTGGGTGCTAACACTCAAGATTCTGAATTTCTGGGGGGGTGGGGCCAAATGAATTTTATGTACAGTATGGGTCTGTTCTCATCCAAAACTCCCACAAAGTGCTATTTGCTTGTTTAATGCAGAGTACTGGGAAAATAACGTATTTGGACCAAAAAATGCTTTAAAAAATGTTTGAGAGGAACATTGAAAGGAAGAAGAATTGTCTAATGTTGTAAATATATTCCTGTTTTATGTTTTACTAAGTTAAACTCTAATCTACTCAGAATTTTGGCAACTACTTTTACTCAGAGGTTGGCTCGAGGGTATAATAATGAATAGTAGAGTTCCATAAACTAGGGAGCATCCAGCATGGGGGATCCTGAGTTTAAAAATCATGGTATATACAGAAGACTTAAGGAAATTTGAGATGTTCTACCATTAGTCAGTTAGCGGTTAGAGGCGGCTGTGAATATACTAGCTGTCATAGGAATTTGCAAGAAGGAAGAGACTTATTGAGTATAGTGTTGGGAGGGCAGAACAGGAACAACAGGTGCATATTGGAGGGAGGCAGATTTTATTGTGTAAAGAAGACTTCTAAGTGATCCAACAATGAAATGGGCTTTGATATTAAGTAGGTGAGTTCCCCATCACTGAGCATATTCAAGAATAGTCTAGATGACCTCCATCACATTACTGTTGAAGGCAATTTGTTTAAGGTCCCTTTCAACTCTAAGAGTCCATGATTATAATTACAAAAGAAGAGGAGAAATGCTAAACTGTATCTGATTTTTACATTGATTCTTTCTGCAGAAACCACTACCATTTATTTATTTAATAATCATTTATTGAAAACCTACTATGTGCAAGGTACTGTGCAAAGCTTTGGGGGTACAGAGATGAGGAAGACACAGCCCTGCTCTCAAGGAGCTCACATTCTAAAAGGGGGACAGACAAGTTTTCAACAATTTTAGTACAATAAATGTGATAATATAGGTATTCATGGAATACTGTGGGATCAAAGAGGAGAGACCTCTAATTCAGCTTAGGAGAAGCTCAGAAAGAAAGCTGAGTATAAAAGAATTAAGAGAAGTTAGTAGAGTGGACAAGCTGGGGTGGTGATGGGGAAGGGCATTCCATGCAGAGCAAATAGCATGTGCAAAGGCACTGGGCTGTACAAGAGCCTGTGCAGCTGGGAGTGGTGAGTAATTCACTACGGACTAAAAGAGTCTGTGCAAGAGTTGGGAGAGATGAGGCTGAAGAGGCAAGCAAGGCTAGATCATAAAGGACCTTGCATACCATGCTAAAGAGCTGAGGCTTTATCCTGAAATCGGTGGGAAACCTCTGGAGAAATTCAAGCAGGGAAGTGCCATGCTCAGACTTGCAATTTGGGAGGATCGTTCTTATGTCAGTGTGAGAAAAGGACTGGCAAGGGATGAACCTGGAAGCCAGGAGACCAGTTAAGACTCTTGCAGAGGAGTACAAGCAAGAAAAACAAGACCTAAACTAAGAGAGAGGGGCCATGGGGAGAGAAAGAGGGGAAGAAGAGGTGAATTACATTTACTGAATGCCCGGTGGCTTAGGTGGTTAGACCCGACACGCTGTGGAGGCCGAGACAGGTGGGATGTGGGGAGTGAGGAAGAGGAGCTCGGGAGGGCTGCTCCGTTTCTGGCTTGAGTAACCGTTTGGATGGCAGTGCCATGGCGGAGGTCAGGAATACAGGAGGGGTGCTTTTGGTGGTGGGGGAAGGAGGGTGATGAGTTCAGTTTTGGAAATGTTGAGATTGAGGTGCCGGTGGGATTTCCAGTTCATCTTCAACACGCATGAAAATACTCTGGCAATTCCAGTCCCTGAGCTCTGCCGAGCAGAAAATGTCAATCATCTGGAAAGGGATTAAATCAACCCAGCCAAGTTAGAAATCATCCTTTCTGACTCCACTCGCCTTGAAATCAGAATGGAGTTCCATGGAAACAAATAACACTCCCTTCCTTGTTCCTTCTATTTGAAACTCATCTGTGGCAGAATCAGTAGTTAGCCTCTTTGCATGTGCAGGTGAAACGGTCGGTTTTCAACAAGGAAACTGGTTCGGCTTGTCACTTGTCAATGCAGACAGTTTTTCTTACCAAAGCTCCTCTCCTCTACCCTCCTTAAAGACTCTCACTGGATTTCCATATTCTAAATGTCAGGTCTGTATACTTCTTCATATAAGTTCTTAATATACTTCTTAACTACAAGCCCTTCACACACTCTTAGTTCATTCCCCAAACAAGCCAAAGTTTGAAGCCATTAAAATACTTTTTATTTAAATCTTTGAAAATGTAAATCTCACCTTTATTAAAGGAAAGACCCACAATATCTAAAAATTAGAAATAATGTTATTCAACTTTCAGAAAACAGAATAACTTCCCACACGTTTTTCATTTGCTAGGATTCCCTTAATTATTAAATTTAATCCTTTTAGACTTCATGCTTTTTGGAATTCTGGGATTTGTGTGTGTGGTGTGTGTGTATGAAATGAGGCAAGGCATGCATTAACAAAAAACCTACACTTTTTCATTGGCCTTCAACTTTCTGATTCCACCGACGAAAATGAAAATTAAACAGTGAGCAAATGATCAATACAGGCATATCCTTTCCTACAGGACGCTGCTTCGTTCCTCTCACGCTGTTTCCCTTGGCTTCCCTTGCCCCTGGCCTCAGGCTCCCTCTTGGCAAATACTCACAGCTTTTGCGAAGACCCCCATAAGCTCCGGGAACTGATGTGTCAGGAGGGCCAGCATGGCTGTGAAGGAACACAGTCCGGCAGTGAAGAGAATGAAGAAGGGAAGCTCCTTCTTCGGGTAAACTGAGACTTCATGGAAAGCTGTGGAGAGGATCCAGGGGGAAGTATGAGTGCCCGAGTGAAACGCCTTCTCAGGGCATTTCTGTCTGTGGGATGGACTCTTCGGAGCTGTGGCTAAAGCCTCTCAGAAACGCCAAGGCCGAAGCACCTGAAAGAACCAGCGCCACCCTCTAGGCCAGCCTCTGGCGTGCCTCGCGGCTCCTCCCGAGTCCCTGGTGGAGCTTTAGTGCTCCATGTGGGAGGCATGACAGGGCCCATCTGAGGACATCACGCATTTGTGGGGGAAAAGGAATACCATCTCTGCCTAATACATAGTCCTGCTTTCTCAAAAGAAAACACAAATAAAACAAAAACCTTATTCCCATTATAAAATACATGTTCATCGGACAAAACCCGATAAATCCAGAATTAAATATACTGGGGGAAAAACATTCTCTATATTTTGACCTTCCTGTAATTTTTTTTAATCATTATAATGCGGCCACATTAGTTTATCTTGTATTTTTTCCTGGCCCACTCTGAGTATGTTGGCGGAGGGAGCCACCCTGACAGACATTCAGCAAGGACCTCACACGCTGGCCAAGTCAATCTGCAAAGGCTGGAGATCAAGGCCGTGGGGGCCACCTGACACCACTGTAGGAGACTCCTGATGATAAATATACTTCCACCATCACCAAAAAGTAAATAACTGGTGCCCTTTAGAGCACCTTTTATAACTTTAACGTTTCCAGTGTTGGGTTTGGGGAAACCAAAAAGCAGGTGGAACCAATGCCCAGAGAGAGGACTCCCTGCTTCCTGCTCACTGGACGGCTGGAGCCCCCCCGGCAGTGGGGTGCTTACCGGGGGAGCTGGGGCTGGCCCGTGCAGAGAAATTGGCCCCGGCAGCCGCCCGAGCTGGAAAACTGCCTGGGAGCAATGCTCCCTCTCAAACCGAAAGGATCCAAGTACTACATTTTCTTCAGGAAATCCAAGCTCTAAAGGCCTTTCCTTGACCGTTCAGCTCCCATTACTTACAGCCCTAAACAAAAATCCACTGGACCTGAGAGAGGGCGGGGAGAGAGCCGGGAGGGACCAAGCAGAGACAAGCTTGCACACTTGACTCCCAGAGGCTACCTGCTGGGATTCAAAGGAGGGGTAGAATCACACTCGGGCCCTAATGTCCAACAAGGGGACTCTGACTGTACAAAATGTGGAGTGCATTCCAAACAGGGGGCCCTCTTTGTATCCACACCATCCTGGCTGTCAATGCCCAACCCCCGAAAGATTGTGAGGGAAGATCAGATTTTGGACCACTGCATTCAATTAAGTAAATGAGAGTCATAATTTTCAATTTCAGGTTTACAGAGATTATTCCTATAAAGTTTCTTTTGAGAGCTGTAATCTTGTTCTAATAGTGAATCTATCCCCATGGAAACTTAATGGGACTCAATTAAAACATCTTAAAACTGCTTTTCAGAAATGGTCTTTCTTACCAGAAACAGAAAGTTTAACAAGGATCTCCCTGAAGGGGGAGTCCAAAGGTAAAGTGTGGGTCCACACCAGGAATTTCTGAAATCAAATCTAATGTAGTGTGAGGCACCAGACCCTTTTTCACAATAAAACTCAGGCAAGGAACAAGACATCACTGAGCTCTCCCAGATCCCTAGGTAACAAATAGGAAATAGACTCGGGCTAGCGAGGAGAAAAGGGGGCCCCCTCCTCCTGCTTCAGTCTGAGATGGTAATTCCTGCTGCACCCAGACCCACCACGCAGGAGATTTGGATGGGCTCAGTAATGCTGTGCACCCAGGGCTCCAGACTTACCCTATTCCCTGGGGCTAGGAGAGAGGATTTAAGGGGGCCTGTCAAAGGGAGGAGGCGGCAGGAGAGGGGACAAGGAAGAGAGAGCAGCCAAAATTTGGAGCTTATTATCTGAGGGAGAAAAATGTGTCCTAAGTAAGGGGCCACATGAGGAGCGTGGACAAGATCCCTGCACACAGTATGGTTTGATAAATCTATTCAGCAGGACTTATCAAAACAATGTTGTATTACAGTAAACCGAATCATGCCTTCCACACGTGGCATGGGCCGTCAGACTGCTAGCTCGGAAGGTTCTCGAAGGCAGGGCCCCTCTCTTGCTGCTGCATACAGTGCCGAGGCCACACCTGTGCTCTGCACGTGCCACACCGGCTCACGCACGACATGCAACCCTGAGACGCTCGCAGGGAATCCCTGTGGCCCAGAGCACTGCGTCACCACGGAGATCACGCCCGCCCGGCCCCACAGCTCTGCCTCTGGCAATGAAGTCAGCATCCTGCTGCTGCCCTCCCATCCGTGACTCATCTGCAGCCCCCTCTGAAGGCAGCGCCCCTGCTTCACACTCCAGTCTGTGCAGACCGCATCGGACCAGCTGCGCCACTCAGCCAGAACCCTGTGCAATGGAGCAGTCCACGAACATCCACCCCAAACTAGTGGTCACTGCGCTTGGGCCAACCAGCACACGATGCCTCCGCATATAAATGTCAGGGCTCCAGGGTCTTTCCCTTTGATGACTCTGCAGAGACCTGGAGCAGCAGGATGGCACACCCACTCGCATAACTCACTTTAATATGCACATGCTATCAAATAAGGGCAGGCTTTGGAAGAAGAGTCGTAAAAGACAAAGAATGCTACAAATTTATCATTCCCACCTCTCCCCATCCCCGGGTTCAGACATGAAGAGAGGGATACAGAAGTGAGACTTACACGGAAGCAGCTCTCGGTCTGCTGTTTCTGTACAGATTGGGTACGGATAAAATAGATGCCCCTTTTCCAAGGGATAAGGGATCATCCGAAAAGCTGAAAATGAGAGACAATATGTTAGAGGGTCAATATTTGTCTCATAATGTCTCAATTCCAAAAAGGGGCTTTAGAGCATTTTTATAATGGTAAACACTTCTACAAGTGAATCCCAGCAAGGATGCAAGACTTACCCAAACTGTGAGTTATGTGCCAGATAAACTGTCGGAGACACATTATGATGTATGACTCATGCATTAATCTCACACTATATATTCTGGGCAAACCTCACAAAACTGGGTGGGGAGGGGTGCAGAGGAATAGGGAAGCCATCGGTTCAATGCCCAGGATTTCCTCATCCATGAAGTATTATTACAATGTCACGAGCACTAACTCAATATAGCTCAACTGATGCTAACAACACAAACCTGGACTGAAATGCTTCCCCAAGAAGCAAATGTGGACTGACTTGCTGACGCCTGTTACAGATGTACAAATATGAAAGGCATTCTACCATGTCTATTTAAAAAAATGTGTCTAGGTGGATGAGAATTCCAACCAAGATGGACAAAAACAAAACAAAACAAAACAAAATCTAAAAATGCATGACTCAGGAGGTATTTCTATACTTTATGTGAAACTTTTCAATGTTCAATATCACGTAGGGGAAGAAATGAATCCAGAGAAATTGATTATCTGTGTGTTGATGATGTCAGACCAACTAAATTCCGCTTTTGTGGCTTCAAACAATGTTAGGTGTCACGCTGAATTACGGTTTTCCAATCAATCCATCCCTCTGCGTTATCACACGTGTTACTCCCCGTTACAATGTGAGGAGCGTGTTAGTCTCACTGTTGCTCTGAACGCAGTGTTTAGAGTAATTTTCCTTCGACAGATGTCCTGTAACTACAGCATGCTGTAGACAGAAAATAGAAAAACCGCACCCTACACTGGCAAAGTCAGGTAACAATCCTTGCCTTGGTGTGTGTGTCAAAGAAGGGTGGGGGGGCACACAACAATCTCTTCAGTCTTAAGTGCTGTATTTCAAGGAATCAGAGCTACATCCTCAGCTGGGTAATCACCCGCACCTTCTCAAAATGCCATCAATGTACACATTTATCTTCTGCATACTTATTTCAAACAGGAATCAGAAACAAAGAATGTTCTCCCTCACAAGAAATGACAAGGTTCTATTGTAACCAGCATCAGTGCACATATGGTATTTATTCTGGTGTCTGAATATTATTTAAAAGTAAAAACATTATGTATGTGATTCCAGCATTTGGAATGCAGTCAATCCACACCACAGTGGTATCACTCTGAGGTTACAGCACATTGCCATGGAGAATATAAATCACTATAAACGCGGGATTAGAGCAGAGCCAGTTTGCTGGCAGTTTGCTGAGGTAAAAATGTTATCAATTTTCCTCTTGTAACAGAAACCTCTTAAACAGAGATTAAAACATTAAAAACACCCCAGACTTTAACTCTTCTTAAAATGAAAGGCTCACCCTAGTTCAATCAGACTTTTCTTTCATGCAAACAAAGATGACTTTTGCCCGCTGCTACAACAAGAGCAAGGGGTGTTCTCAGCACAGGTTGTTAACGCACAAAGATCACTGAAGGAACCAGTATCTCTGGAGAGGTTTGCAAGACAAGGGGGAAGAAATTACATAACAACCCCCCCCCCACAAAACCCCTTTTAGTGCCTTTATAGGATACACTAAAATCTCTTCTGGGAAGCAGTGTGTTTAAATTTAAACTGCAATATGGCAGGATTTTAATACCATTTCCCATAAATGAAGGCTGCTATGAAAGCATCCCAAAAATGTGGAAAAACCTACGTGGAAGTTTTGTGTGTGTGTGTGTGTGTGTGTGTGTGTTCCTTTTTTTTTTTTTTTTTTTTTGGTAACCCAGATTCTCTATGTGCAACAGGGCTGTTGTAATTAAGAATCTGTCCGGGTTCACATGATCTAAATAAACCCTCAGTTTTCAAAGTGGCTATAAATTTGAATGCTACATTTTATTCAAAATTGAAGTCAGTTTGCACTTCGGGGAGCAATTTTTTAAATGAAATATAGGAGAGCAAGATCTTGAGAGTGTTCAACCATAGAAATCAAATGCTTGGTTGGTGTCTTTTCACTCAGATGCCAAATCTTTTTTGCAGCAGTATTTGGCACGCATACAGAATTCCATGCACCAAGTTAGTCTTTCTCTTCTAATCAGTTCTGGTCTTTTTGGAGAGGGTGGAGACAGTGATTATATACAACTTACACACATACACACACACACACACACACACACACACACACACACAGGTCTTTCTGCACCGTCCTACCCAGCCCCCCAAGGCAACCTCCATGACTGTAGAGATGCTTAGGATCCTCTTAAAATCTCTTTCTCATGTCAGTTGTCATTTACATTGAGTTCATAAAATAAGATTAAGCTTTTTGGCTTCACTAAACAAAAGCAAATACAATTTCTGTTTGCAATTCTATCCTTTACCCACCCTGCTGTGCAGGGACCAGGGAGTGGGAGATAAGCAGTGGAGGGCTGGAGAGAGCAGGAAGAGGCACTGCAGAAATCTTGCCAGCTTCACCTCCCACCTCCTGATCCCTGTCACTGAAAAGACATGTAACTGCTCCACAAGAACCTCACAGCTTTAGCTGAATGTCCAGAAATTTTGCAAATGCAAGTAGGAACACACTGATTTGACAGTGCAAATGAGAATGGAAAAAAGGGCATCTATTTTATGAATTTTATCTATTTCATGAATGACTACAGATCTCCTAAAAATCTTTGTCTGGAAAAACATACATTTCAGAGGAATTACAAATATACAATGTATTTGGTTAAAAACAAAACAAAAAAGCTGGGCTGCTCCATGTGAATGCATAGGACACTAGTAGTGTTTCTGCCTTTTTCTCTGGGTGCCATCACCTCCCTTACCTTGACTTCTGTTGCACTGGTGAGGAAGGGGCAAAATGAAACCAGGAGTCGGTTAATGACCACATGGGGCCCTGCAGTAAAGCCTGAGGCATTACACTGGCATCCTCTCTCCCTGACCAGACACATTTTCTAGTCTCCACACCTGTCAGTGCTGGGCTCCCTAGAGATCCTAAACTAACACTGGAGAAAAAGTCAAGAGAATGAAAACAGGGACAGAAGGACGGACACAGGAATAAACCAATTCCCGATTTTCCCAGCGATTTCTAATGACCTCTCAGCCTACCCACTAATAGCAAGGATAGAAGATAATATCTGATATTTTGTCTATGTTGCCTTTTCAAAGAGGATCCAGGGAACTGTGTATAGACAGATTACTTGCAACAGCAAGAAGTGCATTTGAATCCCAGTGGCACATCGTCAAACTGCGAGTGCTTTCCTCAGGCACCAGGGACAGAAGAGTGAGCGACACGTTGTCCCTGCATTGATGGAAGCTCACAGCCTATGGCAGGAAACAGATGGTCCAAGAATCCTGAAAATCTGTGTGAATGATCTCCCTGAGATAGCACCTCTGTGCTGTGTGTATCTAACGGAGGAGCCGTGGAGGCGATAGCTAACAACGACCTGAACTTGACCAGCTGAAAACTAGATGACTGGATGGGTCATTAGTCTTTGTCCAGTCTCTTTGTCTTAAAAATGAGAATACTATAGACCCTGAGAACCTTAAAGGGACCACGTGTGGCAAAGGTGTCTAAACATGGGGACTGATGGCTCGGTAAAAGTCAGTTTTCTCTCTATATTCCCTTTCTACTAAACCCGTAATTCTGGCTCTCTCAATCAGGTCATATTTTGCTTATAAGTAAAAACGCTGCTTATTTATAAATAACTAAAGGTGCAAACAACAGAACAGAAAATTATCATTAAAATACAAATTTTACAATTTCACCCTTGACTCTAAAGTAGGTAACTGGCCATAAAGGCTATTTGATCTTCACAAGGCATTTACACACAATAATACAAAATTCTCAAATCAAAAGCCCAAGGTACTGATCCGCACTCTTTCACTATTTGTTCTGCGGTCTTGGGAAAAATCACTTCCCTTTGGCTCATTGATGTACCATTCCAATTCTGAAGAGGAATTCTAGAGTTTTACAGCAGATTCACTAACTTGTTGACAAGCCTCGACCCTTTAACACTCTGTTCCTACTTCCATGACAGTATTGCTTGGATGCACACTACATATTACATAGATGCGTGTGTTAAAATACGCATAGGTGAGCACACATGAACAGACGTGTGCATGTACACACACACACACACACACACACACACACACACACACACACACATTAACATTTCTCTCAAAGCATTTCAGAGTCCTATTCATCCTGTATCTCCAACATAATGCTTGGTACCAAGGAGGGACTCAATATGTGCTCACTGAATAAAGGAATATGTGAATTAATGCACAATCAGGAAGAGACAGAGAGTTTCCCTTTTAAAAACTCAAGTGGCTTCAAATTATGGTGAGTCACCATGGCAGAATGAAGGGAAGGGACAAGCTGGCTCCATCCACCAGGCAGAAGGTGGGGAGGCGCTGTACGAGACCTGGAGACTGGCTTTTAGTGAAAGTTAGCTTTGACTGGGAAATTTAGCAGACCATTGCCCTCTCCCAAATTATAAAATTTAGCATTGGAACTATGGGGTGAGGGGTTGGGGGGAATCTCTCTTTAGCAGTGCAAAAGGTGCCAGCCGTTTGGAGGAAAGTTCTGGTTAGTGGAAATGCCCGAAGGACTACATCTTACAGCAAGGAACATTTACCATCAGGTTCAAAGAGAATAAATTAGAATCGGAATTTCATCCTATGCTCCAACAATGGGCCGTTTTCTCCTCTCAAAGGAAATACTCTCTTAGTCCCCCCCAAAAAACACCACCTTCAAATCTTATACATTATTTAGTGAATTCTTTGGGGAAAAAATCTCCAAAAAGAAAATAAAGAGTCTTACTTGGTCAGGTGGAAAAAAATGGAAACAAAGAAAGGCTAAGTGATTTACCCCATGGCATACTTGTCTTCTGATATATAGAACTAGAAAATTAAACCTTGAAGTTCACAGCTGCGGTCAGCAGACTACCCTGCTTTATAAAATAAATACAGCCAAAACGAGCCTTGAAAAGATCGAGGTAGGAGGGAGAGGAGGCCACATCAGTATTTAATATAGGTAAAACAGAAGATGTGCCATTTAAAATAGAGTCCCACAAGGCACAACGCTGTTGTAAATAGACCCAGTACAAATGAGATTGCTCATTTATATAGGTTTTGTATATTCAACTCATACTTGCAGTAATGTGCGTGTTTGTGTGTGTGTGTGTGTGAGGATAACCAGAACCTACAGTGTTTAAAATAAGTGTAATTCAGATAAGGTGGCAGCTGTATAACGAACTAAGGAATGTATTTTTAAATCTTGTAAGTTAAAACTTTTCCCCTTTCTTGATTATCTTGACTTTGAGGAACATATTGTGCAATTTCAGAGGCTGGGACAGTGATGAATCAAACATTTTAGAAACCTTTGAAATGCTGATGTATTTGTGGTTGAGGACTCAGTTTTTTTTTTTTTTTTTTTAAAACCACCATATGTTTCAAACCCAAACAATCTCTGCCATGCATCAGCTGGACTTTGGGGTTTTATCAAAAATGTGAATTATTTCAGCCTGATTGGTGGGAAACTGACTTAATTCCACAAGATGACTAACGCTCCAACATAATAAACTCATTAAAAAGCAAGGAAAAATATATCTGTATCCCCACTCCTAAACCAACACTTTTGACAGAAGAATGTTTTTTGATCTCCAAAAGATCAATTAACTAAAAGAATATTAATTTTTAATATAGGAACTGGTGAAATTAGGTACTGTTACCTTCCTCCCTGAATTTCCTTTCTAATGAAAAGGGGAAGTTGGAAGGGAGTTGGGGAATGGCCTTAAATTTCAGAAAGAACAAAAAAAGATAATAAAGGACAAAACCTAAACTAGGAGGCTGGCAATGTCAAAAGGCGCCACCACGTGGTACACTGGAGGAAGTGCAGCCTGTTGCGCTGAGGCACAGGCTGTCCAGGGCACCTCTGAAGGGAGAAGGCACCCTTCACCCACTGTAGCTATCTCAACGAAACCGCCTTGAAGCCGGACAATCTGGGGTGGGGCACTGGCATTCAGTATCATCAGCGATTCACAGTGTTCAAAAGCCAGGTAAGTTAAGTCAATACCACTTCAATAGCCAAGTCAGAATTGCAATCCAAGTCTTCTGATTTAAAATCCAAACTCTAATGCCTCCATTCAACTTAGAATGCACACAGGTCTAGAAGTGATGTCAAAAGATTGCACGTGACTGTTTGAAGTTTGAGTGGTAATTCTTCTAAATTGCATGAGAGATTTATAGCTTTGTTTTAAAAAGGACCAAAACTTTGTACTGAAACACCATACACACACACACACACACACACACACACACACACACACACACACACATATATACATACATATTTGTGCTTGTAGAAAACTACGTATGCTTGTTGAGAAAATTTGAAAACTACAAACATGAAGGGAAAAAACCTCTTAAAATCTACTTAAAGATTTATTTATTTCCAGTCTTTCGTTTGTTTATATGTAGAATTTACTTATTTTTTTTTATAAAACGGCCCATTCTGTATTTAAAATGTTTAAGTCAACATTCACCATCAAAAATATAATTTTAGAAAGATTATCTTTCTAAACACTATAAGAGGAATAAGTACACCGAGCCTATAAGTAGTAGTATAAATTGAAGGCTTCCAAACAAATGTTTTAGAGATGACTGATCATCTTATGCTTAATCTATTCAGGAAAGGTGTAAATAGCTGGTATTATAGAAAAGAAGAGGCAAGAGAAAGTGAACTAGAGTTTACATCCTGGCTCTACCAACAGTGGTGGCAAAACTTGTAATCAGGTGCTCGTCTCAATAACTCTTCCTCTCCTAAACAACAGAGGCGGCCGCCTCTCTCCTGTCTAACTCAGAACGTTGTCAGGAAGAGTACATGGAATGACAGACACGCAAACCCTCCGTATATTACCCCCTTCTACATGCACTCTCCATGGTGCTTGGTGCTTAACGAGCACTCTCATAGTTCCTGTCTAGAATTGAGGTACAGCTTTCTTTTCAAAATTTGGGATGGTTTCTATTTATCTATAAGGATCAAATGCAGAATTTCCCTTTCCTTGAGGTCCCTGACTGCCTTGCTATCCTGGTTTATGTCTAAAAATTCACCCCCTCTCTTCATTCTAAAGAGTATTCTGCCCATCTAATCTGAGGTAATTAATTATATTCCCCCAACATCACCACGCTGCTAGATGAACGAGCTCACAATGTCACTTCACATTTGTCCAAATCCCATGGTCCTTCCCAGTTGGTCCAGGGCATCCCCCCACCCCCACCACTGGTATCTAATTATATGGGTAACTAATTTCCAAACAAAATTTCTAGTTATTATTCCTCATGGAATTTTTTTTTTATGGTTATGCCATTCCCAACACCGTGTCTCTATCACTTCTTGCCTCCCCATTTTGTTCCTTTCCATATAACTGTAACTTTCTTATCAATCAGATCCAGCTGATTGATGACAAAAGCTTCTTTTGTTAGGTTTCTAAAATGCTAATCTATAAATATGTCTTTATTTGGTGAGCCAATCTATCCATGTAATTTTTTTCCTACAACTAAACCTAGGTGAGGCCTCTCATGTTCAATCCTGCTGGGCTTCTTCAATCTTTTTCTTGTGTTTAAATAAAAATCCTTTTGTCTTTTTTGGGTAGAACGCCTTAAATGCAACAACAAACCAAGTCAGTGGGGGACTTTACACACGCCCACACATGCCCTGAGTACAATGTGTTGTCTTAACACAGGACGGGGCACCGGGAGTGGCTTATTACACATAATGGTGTGGGGGTGAAAGCATCAACCAAGTTAACACCCCTCAAATTATAAATAGTAAATTATTTAAGAAAACTCATTAGAAATTCTCTAAAGAAATAGTTTCAAAACTAAACGAAAAGCTTTTAATCAACTTGAGTCCCACCTCTCTCAACTTACTTTTACCCCATTCCATTTGGCTGCCCCCCCCCCCCACCCAACTTCCTGCATCCATTTGGATTCCTGCTGGGTTTGGGAAGGGCAGGAAAAGGGAAGAGCAGAAGATTATCAAAATGAAAATGGAAGCAGCAAAGATAAACACAGTGAAAGGGATTAAAAAGACATTCCTTTGTGAGGTTGATCAGAGTAGGGGTGAACTAAGAAAAAATTATCAGAAGACTAATAATTGTTTTGTTTCTCTATGAGAAGGGGAAAAAACACCCCACACTGCATGTTGTACTTGTTTTGCTTAACTAATGACAATGTGTCAATCCACATATTGTCCAATAATCTGTAGTCTTGGGCCTTTCCCCTCAATTTACATTCTTCTAAGCAGTCCCACCACTTAGCACAGTGTCCTTGCTTATGACACTATCCTAGTTCTTCAAGGCTTGGTTCAAATCTCCTATGATCCTTAAGGTTACCTGTGACTGCAGCACCTCACTGACCTTTCCCTTAGGAAAAATCACTGGGCAGCTGCGTCATGCTGGCTACTCCTCCCAACTAGACGAGATGTTTCTCCAGGACAAGGAGCATGTCTCACCTGAAACTGAAGTCTTTTCTCCTTACACAGAATGACAGTACCTGGCACATGCTCAGACTGATTATCCCTACAGCCATCCAACAGGCATTATCCATTAATACACGAATGCTACACCTGCCACCAAACACTAGGGTCCTGTGGTCACTGCTCTTATTCTCAAGGAAAACTGCAGCTCATTTGTTTGGCCAACCTAGTTCCAGTGGAGGATAACTGTGGCTCATTAGCCAATCCTCCCAGAAAGGCCACCCAGAAGTGGTTGGCCAAACCCCATGCCAAACCCCCTGCCAAAGATTCCCATGAAGCTGAGGGGGTGCTCAGGTCTCCAAAGAGGGTTTTCCAGTTCTCCTCTGCCAGAACAGTCCAGATTCATACCGTCCATTGTATAAACTTATTTTTTGAGGTACAGAGATGGCATCGTCACAGTAACAATCACCACCATTGGGGAACTGAAGAATCTCAGTAATTAACCATCATCTCTCGGTGATGGAATATTGCAGGGAAGTAGAGCTATAGATATGCAAATCATCATTATTCATCATGAACACTCAGTATAAAAACAGTTTTAGCATCTTTTCATGCTCTTAAAAAAAAGTTTCAAAGAAAGAAAATTACTTACTGCCTTCCCACGTACAATGCAAAAGATTCAAAGCCCCTTCCACCCTCTTCCAGTGTGCCAGATGAAAGAACGCATATGCTATTGCTTCACTGTCCCCTCGCTTCAGGATATGTTCTGGGGGGAGGATTAAGCTTTTCATTTCTAGTAGGTACTGAAATAAAAAAGGCAGGAGACAGATGCATTAAAACACAGTAATTTGGAATTCAATATTGAGAATAGAGAGGCTGATTTCCCTAAAGCCACCACTCATTAGCATTTCATCCAACCTGCAACCTTGTTAGTATGTTTGAAGGCAATTACTAAAATACCCAGCAACCCAAAGTTTGCTAACAGATAGTTAGGCTTGAACTAGGTTTCCTAAGGTGACGATCAGAGGCTTTCAGGGTTAGATACTTTAGTCAACGAAACATATATAGACTCAAACAGCAAAACGGAAAATTAGAAGACACAGTAAGTTGGTGTAATTTTGTAGCCAGAAACGAAAATACATAAAATGGATGCGTGAAGGTTAAGAAGTCATAGGACTAAACCCACTATACTAGAGAGACTTGAGATTCACTGTTTTTTTCTATACAGATGTACCAAGAAGGACCTAGTCCAGTGAAAAGAGCCACCCCTAGCTGTTCAGATGCTGGAGGAAGGAGGCGTGGCAGCCTGAGGACAGGAAGACCCCAGGGATGGGGGGGAGTAGTACAGACCCCAAACTATACTGTTTTTTAAGATCCTTTCCCAAAGACTGAAGGATCCTCAGCTTATGACTCTTCATTCCTATCTTCTACAAAGGAGATGGGAGCACAGGGCCAGAATTGATTCTTTGGTGTTTACTACAGAATAGAAAGGGAAGAAAATTTAGGGTGGTATTTTATATTTGCAAATGTTAACTTCTTTTTGCTTTCTGGCTTCTCCCTGGGCGTCACTCCTCACCCACATATACATATACACCATCACCACCAACCACCATCACGAAAACCCATGCATCTCCTTTAAAATGGAGATTAGCAGATGATAGAGGGATGTGTTTAATGAAAATGGGACAAATACGGCAGAAGGAAGTGATATGAGAAGAGATGATCAACAGTTGTGATGTCAGAAACAATTGCCTGAAGATTTATCTATCAGTAGAATCGACGAGGGAGGAGGAAGAATGGACGACTTCTGCTTTACCGAATGGAGATCATGGTACACCTCTCAGTGTTCTGTTATCTCACTGTGGATTTATGTGTTTTGGGCACTGTGAGTGCAGTTGCCTTTAAGCTTCCTCTCCTATTGGTACATCTGCTCTCAGGATACACACGCCTGGCAGGAACCAGGAGGACACACTCTGGCCTCTTGGTTCAGCAAATGAAACTTTCTACACTCTGGGTCTGTTATTTGAAAAAAATCTCTAAGCCTCAGGGCTCGAAAAAGTGAGAAAGCCCATACAGAGTGCAGCAGAGAAGAGTGATACAGTCATCACCCTTGCCAGGGAGGGGGTGGGAGGGTGGGAATAGAGGGCCCTCCTTGGAGAGAAAGATATCCATGGGAAGGCCTCTTTCCAGGCTGTTCCATGAAAGGTGTTGATTACTTTGATGCAAACTCCTCAAGTATGAGTTCCAAAAGATCTTTTTGTTCATATGCCTTTTCGAATTCTACAAGTCACTGCCTTCCTCCTCCTCCTTGTTTCAGAACAGTGCAGAACAAAAATCTTTTGGGAAAAATTATAATTTTGAGTTACCTAGTAATCCAACCAGCACCACATTTATAATGAATAGCAACTATAATATAAATATAAGGGTGAATTTTATGTTCAGAAATATTTGACTATCCTCTTATGATCCTGTTACCTTAATTGAAGCTATTATACCATGTTGCCACCACCCATGATGATCTTAAAAGACTCCAAGGCAATGAGTCATGGGAAAGACATATACCCTGTAAGGTGCTATAAATTGTATTAATTGTTCCAGAGTAAGAGAAGAAAGATCATTTGGTTACTCTTAATAATCATCAGGAGAACAAAGGAAAGGGAAATTTTCTTGCCTAATAAGAGCCCTAGAGTAAGACTTTATTTTTGAGTTTCTAACAATGATTTATAGCTACCCTGCCTATCAAATAGTCAATTTTTAAAGAAAGAACATGCTGTATAAACTCTGAAACAACTAAATATGAAAACCATTAGTGTACGTATCCCAGGATATAGAGACCTCTTCAAGTCCCTGAGAATAAGATGGTGGCTGAAAGAAAAGTATAAACTACCATTCCTTTTATTTCTATGACGAGGAAAGTCTTTCGAAGTCATTTCATTAAGCATCTGTAAAAGAACTCTTCTCTTGGCTAAGGAACCTTCAGGAATAGGGGCCCCTGAGAAGAAGTGGGTAGGTCCACATTTGTGGATAGACTTGAAACAGAGGGGGTGGGGCAGAGAAAATGTGTGTGTGTAGGGGAGTAGAAAATTACTTATTTTATAATTGTAATAGATTAGAAATAATAGATCTGCATTATCTAATATGGTAGCCTCTACTGCATGTGACTATTTGAATTAAAATCAATTAAAATCAAATAAAATGGGCACCTGGGTGGCTCAATGGGTTAAGCCTCTACCTGTGGCTTGGGTTATGGTCTCAGGTTCCTGGGATCGAGCCCTGCATCGGGCTCTCTGCTCATCAGGGAAATGTTTCCCCCTCTCTCTCTCTGCCTAACTCTGCCTACTTGTGATCTCTCTCTGTCAAACAAATAAATAAAACAAACAAAAAAAATCAAATAAAACAAAAGATACAGTTTCTCAGTCAACTCCTCAAGTGAGGCATGTAGTTAATGACTACTATACTAGACAATGCAGAAACATTTCTGTTATCACAAAACATTCTATCACAAAAGCATTGCTGTAGGGGCGCCTGGGTGGCTCCATGGGTTAAAGCCTCTGCCTTTGGCTCAGGTCATGATCCCAGGGTCCTGGGATCGAGTACCGCATCGGGCTCTCTGCTCAGCAGGGAGCCTGCTTCCTCCTCTCTCTCTCTGCCTGCTTCTCTGCCTACTTGTGATCTCTGTCAAATAAATAAATAAAATCTTGGGGTGCCTGGGTGGCTCAGTGGGTTAAAGCCTCTGCCTTCGGCTCAGGTCATGATCTCAGGGTCCTGGGATCGAGCCCCACGTCGGGCTCTCTGCTCTGCAGGGAGCCTGCTTCCTCCTCTCTCTCTCTCTCTGCCTGCCTCTCTGCCTACTTGTGGTCTCTGTCTGTCAAATAAGTAAATAAAATCTTTAAAAAAAAAAAATAAATAAATAAAATCTTTTAAAAAAAAAAGCATTGCTGTAGACAATGTCAGTTTCCAATATTCAAGTAACTAAAATAATTTTTAACATGAAAAAATTTTATAGACACCCAAGATAGGGATTTTAAATGTAGTATTGATTGAAAACACGTAATATGGCAAAAACCTACAATAAATGTAATAAAATAAGAATTCATTTAAAAGTGTTGCTGGTCACCAGGGCATCTAGATATACTTGGAAAATAGTACACATGTGAGACGGATGGTTTACTCAGCTTGCAGGCTCAATGTGCCGCATATGGCCTCAAGGACATGATCGTCCACAGCCCTAAAATCAGGCCGTGAGGTAATGCTCTGCTTTTCCTCTAAGATGCCTCTGATCTTTGTGTATGTGTACCTTTCATACATTGCCTTATATTAGTTATTTGTGTGTCTTTTCCCAAAGCTGAATCATAAGATCCTCAAGAGCGTGAATCTCGCTTCCTAAGAAGCGTCTCAGAATGAGCATCCTTGCTCAATCAGCCTCATGATGCTAACCAGAGCAACCCACCAAGGTCACTTCGTTACCTTCTTACTGAATCTGCTTGACGGCAGAAACGGGTTATGCCTATAAAGGAGATTTATACTCCGGTATAGTTCCAAACAAAATGTTGGCTCTAACCGGATGATGAAGGCTAATAAAACAATGTGTTATGTTTTTGGCCAGGCTTAAAAATGGCTGGCAAGATCAGTTCTCAACATGTGCAATGTCTAAATTAGAAAGGCATGGAACAACATTTCACATCTTACTTGTCAAGAGAAAAATAAATGGAAGAGGGCAGATCCCTATCCACAAGTATGCAGAAATCAATTAGAATAACTGTAGCTCGCAAATCAGAGAACACTCTCTGCCTGTCTGTAATAATTATTTGGCTTCTATTAACTAAGCCAGCATTCTGTGCTATCTTGCCGGCTACCCTGCCTCTAACTTCCTTCCAGAATCTCAAATCACATTGATCTTGATGTACGGCCTCCAAAAGGTTTCGGAAGCAACTTTCAAAATCTATTTGTCAGAATCTAGTTCCTTATGTCCATAGGAACATACAAAGCCAGAACAGAGAAAGAGGAGCTGAGTAGTGCCTTCTCATGGACGTATTTAAGCAGAGGCTTGTCACCTGTCAGGAGACAGCTGGCCCATTAGCAAATACCCCAGGTGACAGTGCTCTTCTGTTAAAGTGTTAAAATTCTCTAATAATCTGAGTGAAAATGATCCCAAAGATACTCTTCACATAGACATTAATGTCAAGGAATTAATTCATACCCCTATTTTCAGATTTTTAAATACCAACAATAGAAGTCATATGAAAATCATTAGAAAAAAACATGGGAACAAACAAAATGAGCAAATATAGGTTAATTTTAGCACATTTAGCTAAATCTAGGTAAATTCGACACATTTAGGTAAATTTTAGCACATTTAGACAATGGCTATCAGGTTCCTTCCAATAAATCAGGTAGTGGAAGAATATTAGCATAAGAAAATGTTCATGTCATATTACTAAATGAAGAAAAAGATGAGTGAGTGTACCATACAGACTATGATTTGGGTAATTAAAAATATATATATATAAGCATTAAGACATTGGAAAGTCAGAGATTGAATGTTAAAGGTTAAATATTTGATTTTATGGGAGATTAATTTCTTTTGTGCTTTTTTGGTACTTTCTAAGTTTTCTGTAAGTCATTTTTATTTCTCTGTGTATATGTATATATGTGCTTGTGTGTGTGTGTGTGTATATGTAATACAAACCTATTTTCTAGACCCAACAAAAACATAAAAAAAAAAAAACATACAAATGAAAGAAAAAGATAACCAGAGACAGCAATTTTTATATGGCTTTTATATGGTTGTATATATACAACT